TATATAATGATTATATGATCAAATAATCAAATAATCATGTTATGCTAAGTGAATAAGTAATAAAAGAATTTTTTCAATTGGGACTTTAATTGAAAGATGTTATGAATATTAAATATATTATAGTATTAATAGACAGGTTTATAAGAAAATAATGAAAATAGAAAAATTTAATGAAATTTCTATTATTAATATTAAAAGTACGATGATTTAAGAATTTTAAAAATCGTATTTCGGAACACAACGCGATGGAGTAAACTTACATTAAAAAAATCAATGGAGCAGGCTTAAATAATTAAGAACAATGGTTAAATAATCAACAAAACTTTATGAAAATTTAATAACAAATGTATATAATATACTATACTATAATATATAATGTAAAATACAAAAAATATACTTTTAAATAATTTCCATCAGCACCTGAATAATATAGTAAGAGTGAAAATATTTCTCAATATAAACATTGTGAATAAAATAAGTTTTTATATAATATTTCTAACATTCATCGTTCTCAAATATGTGAAAAGTTCAAATAGGAATTTCTCTCAACTTGAACTTTAAATTGATAATACGCGTCGTAGTTTCTAATCCTCTCCTTGATTCAAAACAAGGATAGTGAATCGATTAATATAATAAAATCATCACCACCACCACCACCACCCCCTCTCTCCCTCCCTCCCTCACTCTCTCCAAAAATCTCACAAATAAAATAAAAAATTTATGTAATTTTATAAAATAATATTACGCGATATGAATTTTGATTTTAGTATTGTCATTGTAATGTAATGCCAATGACTAATTAATAATATAAAGCAGTGTATTAAATATATAGAATATAATAATATAATATAATACTTAAATATAATTAAATAGACTAAACATTTTATATATATATATATATATATATATATATATATATATATATATATATTTCTCTATAATAAAAAAAAAAAATAAGTACATGCTAATAAAGAACATTGTGGTAACACGTGTAATATAGAATATTTTTAAATACTTAAGAAATTTAAATATTTTTTCTAAATAAAGCAAGGATAAAAGACATATATTATTATAGTTTAAGTATTAATTATTACTTTAAGATTTCGTTATTATAATTTAATACTACTTTTTAAAAGGAAATATTTTAATTAATTCAATTTCGTGTAATTAATTTGGCTCATTCGAAAATGTCAAAATAATCAACCATAATCAGCTTTAACGTAAAATGCATAAATTAATATTACCTATTGAATTTTAATTCAAAATTTATGTTCGTGTTAACTAACGTGAGTTACTATACAAACATAAAGTCGCATTCTAAATGTTGAATAATTGGTAATGAGCGTACGTATGTAACGTCGTAGTAAAGTTGATTTTATTTTTATCAATGTAATTCCAATTTATGTGAAACATAGATGAGCTTAGGTAAATGAGATGTAAAAATATTATCGTGTTCATAAATTTGAATAATACTGGCTTAAAACAAAAAGAAAATTTTTAATTCTTTATCAACTTTAAAAATATAATTGTAATAAAATTTTCATTAAAAGTCTTACCGACAAGTTGAAAAAAATTAAAGAAAACATAATTTTTAATAATTCTGCTCGAAGTGAAGGTTTTTAGGAAAAACCTTAGTCCTCGGCAAATATTCCACTTTAAATCAGGTTTAATTTGTGTAAATGGCAGTGCTGTCGGCAACATATGGAAATTATAATGTTCACATGTGGTTAATCCTTGCTCTATTTTGAAGAAGGTCGATCTCATAATGACGATTGTACTCTGTCTTCTGATACTCTTTTCTAGTGGTCTTTATTGCTTAAAAAGACTTGACTCTTAAAAATTTAAATTTAAATGGCAATTAGCTCTTTTTATAAATATGTATTATTTCTTCTTCTTCTTCTTCTTCTTCTTCTTCTTCTTCTTCTTCTTCTTCTTAATTTAAATTAAAGAAAGAATAGAGAAAAATTAGAAATAATGATGCAAAATTATAGTTTTAGAAAACTTTTCAATACAAGTGTGAAAATTTTCATTTTTATTCAAAACTTTGTAATTGCTAGAGAAAGCTTTATTATGTCACTGTTTAGTTATTACAATGTGTATTGATCGTTAAATTATTTTAATCGTAAATAAAATATTTTATCCTTATCATAGGGAAGAGAATTATTGTAAATTTCGTAAAAATTTAATATAATTATATTACGTACTTACTCTTTGAAACCACTTTTTTTTTCTTTTTACGTACAACTAATAAATATTTTTTAATAGACATTAACTGTATTATATCAGTTAAGTATAATGAACGTAGATCAAATAATTTCACATTACCTTTTTGAAGGTAAGTTTATTTTACAGTTACATAAATAAAAATTGTTGGCTCATGATTTTGTAATATATTATATTAAAATAAAAAGCTTATATAGTTTTCCTATAAAATAAGCCAACGGAATAAAATAAAAGAAATTTCAAGTTATATTAAAGTATATAAATTTTGAGCAATATATATTTTACAGTTTTAAGTTTTACAGTGCTTAAGTTTTGCAATTACACATTGTATATTTATATTCTATTCTTTTTTAATTTTCGTTAAATAATATTGGACATTAGCTAAGACAATGTAATACCAGATATACAAGATTACTTTCACTCTATAGACTACCAACAAAGAAATATTAATTTTAAATAATTATACAATATAGTTTTAATATCCATTCAATATATTGATAGTTGCAACTGTAAATATATTGCAATTTAATTATTGCGTCATTATAAGTTAAGAGGATACAAGATCTTAAGTTTCTTTATAAATTTTATAAATGCTCAAAATTATGTGAGTTTTTTCTATCATAATATATATATATATATATATATATATATATATGAAATAATAAATATTTGCGATATTCTATAAAAAATAATCCGTGATTTATCTTGGGAGTTTTCTATGACTGTTTGATTCGTCGCACAATGATTTCAATAACATTTCGGAACTGCTTATTCAGATTTATTCGGATCTTATCTTATAAATTATACTGTATTCTTGGCCCTCGATATATTTTAAAAATGCCTTTAAAAATTGTATTAAGGTTCATAAAAAATTTTACAATCTGACAATTAAAAAAAAAAATAAATAAAAAATAAAAAAATTACTTTGTAAACAAAATTTAGTAAACAAGACATACAATTTTATATTGTTCATTAAAAATAATAAATAATATTTATTTACTTTCTTGGTTTTTTTTTCTTTTTTTTTTGCGTTTTATTGTTGCAATATTATTTACATATTCTCAGCGGTAATGACGTTGCTACATTTTCTCCCTTTCTCTTTGTATCTTCATACTTCTGCACGGTTTATATATATATATATATATATATATATATGTGTGTGCGTGTGTGTGTGTGTGTGCGTATGTACATAAATATGTTTCATGAATATGTAGTCATGCACGTAATAAAGGATAAAGTAACTCGTGTATGTACATTGGCAATGTTCTATTTGAATGGTGATAAAATACTGGAAAAATGGAGCTATTTAAAAAAATTTCTTGCTATTAAGTGCACATTAACGAAGAAATTAATAAGTTTTGCAGCAATTTTCGAATATTTTTCATAACTGATTGTACTGTCTTTCAAGACTTTCGTAAATTTCACGAATAGGATGATAAGATGATCAATATAATAAGTGATCTCTAAATAACAATATAAATGTATACATCTCTTATTATAAATGATAAACTTTTGAATGGTAGCAATTGGATATAATTTGGGATTATTTAAAAGTTTCTATTAACATATTCAATGATAAAATTCGATGATGGGCTTTTAAACATTATACAGGAAGATACCAATTTAATATAAAATTACGAGTAAATTTGAATTATTTATTTGAGTTTTTAAATTATTTCTAATATATCTATATTTCGTTTTTCACTATTTGGAAAATTCCTGTTTTGATGAGAATATTTGATGTTCAATTTTTCAAAACTCGGAAAACAGAATTTTTTGGCTTATTAAAATTAAAGCTGATATTTTGTATAGATAATTGAGCGGAGATTACGTCATTTGAAAAACTTTTAATTTACAATAATTTTGTAAAGATTTCGTTTAAACTAAACCAACTAAGGCATTTATCACATAACTTTCTAGTCATTTTATAGCTTTGAGTCGATAATATAATGCAAGCTATTTGCAAATCTTTATTTATCGTATTATCTTGACGTTTTAGAGATCCAAGAAAGGATTAGCAAAGCACGACTGTTCAGTACCTCAATTCATCTATAATACAATTGTTAATATATCATTGATCATATTCTATTTGAATAAGTAGCTTTTATTTATTTATTTATTTATTTTTTTTTAATGTCAGACTATTGTGATAAAATTAGAACTAATCATTAGACAATTATGAGAAAAATTTATGTAATAAATTGATGTATTTTGTAAAAATATTTCTATTTATTCGTAAACTAAATAAAATAGAATATACATTAAATTAAAATTACAATTATTATTAATGACTTTTCGAATATTACAAATGACATTAACAAAAACCATTATATTTTGTATCTTAAGAAAAAACTAATATTTTATTTGAGACGGGATAAGTTTACATTGTATTGTATAATAATCATACTACTAATGAAATTAGTACTTATAACTAAATAAAATTATAAGTATACTTAATTTTAAAAATGATTAATAATATATATATAAAAATATGTAATATAAATTTAAAATATGTAAATATGTAAAATAAATGGATAAATTATATCTTGGTATTTTGCAAACTGTTAAAATAGTTATGTATATAATTGAATTAATAAGATGAATTAACATTCATAATTAAACGAATATAAAATTCTGATAATGAAACTGATAATTATTAAAAAATATTTTATAAAGTTACAATCAATGTTTGTGCTTCTTTAAAATTTTGTATAAAAATATACATTTTCTTACGTACAATTTTCGAAAAGCTAAATAAAGTCTTATAGATTCTATTTAATGTTGTATATCCCTTATTGACAATTACAACTAATCACACTGTCCGTCAAAGATATTTCTTTCCTAATGAAACTCAAATGACTATAAACTTTAGTATATACATCAGGTAGACCTTCGGCGCATGGAAGAACGAACGAAGCAACGCCGACAATTATTCCATCAACGACCAATGGTCCACCACTATCACCCTGCAACAATGTTTATTCCACTATTTTAGATTTTTGGTAAAATTTTCAATGCGACAAATTAATGTGAGTCTCGTGAGAATTAATCAATTTAACTTAATTTTGCCAGCAAATACTAATGCGCTAAAGTATTATGCAAAACTAATGTATTAGTGTTAAGTTGGCTCAATAACACATGTCTATGAATAATGATAAATTTAATGAAATTGCAAACTCTTACAACGCATTGGCCAATTCCTACTGCTTCAAATCCACAAAATTGATCCGGACGAATATGAAACGGAAGTCTACTAAAGCATTCTTCGTTTCTAATAATTGTCATTGGAGCTTGCATCAATTTCTCCGAAGTAGCTCTGTCTTCGTATTTTATCCTTCCCCAACCACTAATTAAACCCCGTTCGCCACCATAGACATTTTTAGTTGGAAGACGGATACTTCGCTGAAACCGGTTAAAAGCGAGGCGTTCTCTGATCTATATAAATTCAAAGAATTCGTTCATATTAAATTCATATTCATATTAAACATAAATAATACGTAAAAGAAAAAAAAAGAAAAAAGAAACAGTCGATATATAGTTAAAAGACAATAAATGTTTTTCAAATGAGGAATTTTTAAATAAATACCATAAAGGTTTTCCATAAAGTTACCATAAAGGAAAAATTTTTATTTTCACGGGGCTGTAGTCAATTTATTTTTTGTAAATTACACTCAATAGGAGTTTTAACGATTTAAACAAAATGAAGAATTAAAAAGGTACAAATTTACAATTGAAGTTGCAATCATTTTAATTTATTACTAAATTTAATCTATTGTTTTTATGAAAGTTACAAAATCATCTTTTTATTTTCTTTACTTATTAAAGAGAATATTTATATTTATATTTATATGTTGAAGTATACGTGCATACTCGCCCATACAAACATGAATACAGGAAACGACATAATGAAAAATCTACTGGATAATGTTTACTACTGTAAAAGCAAAAGCAATCGTTATTGTTAAATGTTGAATGAAAATCATTACCATCAACATTTGACTAGTTAATATTCAAATTTGAATGTTAATTTGTATTATATGACAATTACGTATCAGTTTCATTATTTACCTATTATGAACATACCGTAATAATGGCGATGTCATGCTTAAACAGATCGTGTGTATCTCCAGTATAGCTGGGATGAACTATAAAATTGTGTATGTGATAATGAGGTCCCGAGGTGTTCCTGGAGTTGTCGGTTCCCGCGTATATTATTAAATTCGTACAATTCACATTGAGAACGCAGTGGGCCGCCGTTAGTATGTGTTTCCTACTAATAATCGAACCACTACATCTGAGCTCATTAGTATCAATGTATCTGATATTCACCATATATGGAAAGTTTACTATTTCTGCTAATATGCCTCCGACGATTCTTCTTTGCCTGTGAAGCGAAACTGAAAAACTTTCAAACGTCAGTCTTAAATAGTTTTATCATCGCTTCTTAGATAAAGCTAGAGACAAATATTTTTCATATTTATAGTAAAAAGAAACAATAAAGACGAAGTTTTTTCTATTACATCTATCATCGCAATATTGCAATATTACATGTATTTATAAATTATTAATCAATTATCACTTGTATTAAAATCAGTGCGAAAATTCACCTCAATTATAAGAGGCTGGCAAAAATAAAATACATGCATAAAATATTCAATAAGTCAAGTTGTCTCTGAATTTTTATGTTAAAGTTTCAACATTAAAATTGAGCCGGTAAGATACAATTTTCTTAAAAACTTTCTAAGGACATACAATTTTTGATAACTTGTTCTCATTTTGTTTGTCTCTCGCTCATGATATTTCAAATGCATTTACGCTCGTCACGACACGAAAAATATGTATGAAACGGTCTTACCAATTGCCAATAAGATCGGAAGTATTAACAATTCGGTGTGTTCTATATATAAATAATAAATATAAAGATTTGATATAGACGGACTCGACTGTTAAAAGAACAAAAATATGTACGATAATAAAAGGTAAAAACATTTATCGCAACACATTAAACGAAACATCTTTTAGGCGATCATTCATCATGAAAGATGCTTGATTGTTTATTAATTACAATATGATATTATTAATTACAAATGATATTCAAAATTACACATGAGTTTGACTTTCTCATTTTATAAAATTCTAATTTTAATTTAATATTTTTACATTTAAAAAATGTATACCATTTATAAACAGTTTTTAAGAAAAAGAATAATAAAATTATTTATAAACAGTTATATTGTTTATAAATAGTTTTTAAGTAAAAGAATAACGAATAGAGAGAATGATTGGTTTCTTATTTTTTAGGAATTATCAATGCTAAGAAATTAAAAAATTTAATGCTAATTATAATTTATGTATTTTTGAAATTAATAAGTCCACATGGTCGAATAAGCAAATTAGTATCAATTCAAATAAAGTTTTATTGACAAAATCGGTAAATTTGAAAAAATAAATAAATTGTTTCCAACGCACTTTTTTTAATAAGCTAACGAAAAAATGTGTTGTTTGACGAAAAACCGTTCGATAAACATGATAATTAAATAAATAATAAATTTAATAAATGTTCTGGAACTTACCAGCATCAGACATGAAACTCGTCATTATTATTATAATTGGGACACTAATTTCCATAGTTATAAATTAATAAGAACCAACTGTTATTGAAATTTATAATAAAATAATTTTAAGGTATTTAATACTTCACTACAATACGATAACGCGTTAATAAAAATATATTGTTTATAATTATTCGATATATCTTTTAATAATTAATAATATGAAAATACATTAGTTAGTTAATATTTACATTATTAATGAACTGTTGATTAATTTAGAGATATTTCTTTTTAAAATGATACTACAATGTACTTTATTTTTAAATGTATCCATTTACAAATATTTTATGTACTTATGTGCTTATATACCAGTTCAATTCATTAAACTTTCAATGATATTGAAATGATGAAGAATTTTTATCATTTTTTATTATATTATACTATTAAGTGTTTTTGACAATAATAATTATAAACATTAACAAAAATTTTAAATAATGAATGAATACCCATATAATTGTAATGATATAATAATACCAATAATAATTTATTATTACTATTATTATATAAATTTGTTACGAATTATATAATGAATGTAATGATATTATTCTTAAATAAGTTAAATTTGTCATTTATACAGTATGGAAATTAGTTTTCGGTAAAATCTAAATTGAATATTTAACTCACTTCTTAGAAATATGGTTATTATTAATTTATATGATGACACAAGTGGGTGATATATTTAGATAAAATGAATTAATAGGCACAAAAATTGTAAATACTTTTACAATTATGAAAAACTGATTATTCAAGGATTTTTTAAAAGCGTTAATATATTTAAAATTCTAAAAATATTAGAACCGTGTATTATGTTAATTTTTATAAAATATTCAAAGTTTATAATGTAATGTTTTTAAATAAAGAATAATTATTACACGATTTGATAATACTTGATTTTTAATATTTAATGCTACTTAATGCATAACAATAATGTATAAATAAAAGCTGTAAGGTTTTCAATCTCTAGTACAAAATATATTTATTAATAACGAATTTATATGAAATATGTTATTATATGATATTCTATCATACATATGAATACATAACCATATAAATAAATATTGCAAATTTTGTATTATTATCAAGTATTGTCATATTATTTCATATTTTATAATATTTTGATATGTAATTTGGCATTTTGTGATTATAATTTGAAATAGAATTTTAAATAAATGACTATTGATACTCATTTATCCAATTAATATCTTTCATATATAACTGTGTCGTTTTATAAATTATTATTTTGTAGGTTAATCGTATAGAGAAATTTAAATTAACCTATTGTAAAATATTAAAATTTACATAAAAAAAAAAAAAGAAAGAAAAAAGAGACTAAATATTATTACTAACTATTACTATTCTTGTGATTTATTCTTAGCATATTAAAAAATTCAAATAAATCATAGGAGGACAAGTAATTCAATGTATTTAAAAGTATTCTTTTTAAAAATATTTTCTTTCAATTGTATTTTCATCCACGTTTTTAATATTTATAAAATTCTATATATTACAATCAAAATGTTAATAGATATTTTGTTAACATCAATAAATACTAGTGTATAAAATTAATAACGATAAAGTAATTCTTAGCGCCTTTCTCCAGTGATATAATATGTATTTAGTTTTACATATTTTCCTTCTTTTTTTTTTCTTTTTTTTAATTCGTATTCGTTTAATAATTTACCTTGAAAGATTTTATTTTAAAGTCAAATTATTGATTATATTAAACAAACAGTATATGATTAAGATTAAACGGTTTTAATTTTTATCTTGAATATTTATAATCCGAATAAAGTAGAATTTACATTTTGTTATTGATTAACATTAATAAATATATCTTATGTTATATGTAATGAATAGTAGATATAATTTTACCATATAAGACAATAGTTTTCCTATGTATTTAAAAGATACGTTTCACGTTGAATATGTGAAAATCGTAGACATAAGTTAGTAGTTGTGATATTAATTAATAATAATGTAGTAAAATAAAAGATAAAATTGTAGACAATGACGAAGAAAAAGACTTAAATTCTTATAAAATTCTGCATAAATATAAATTTGTTTCAACAAAAATATATATTTTCATGTTAAAATTCACGTTTTCTATTACTGTATTCAAGAAGATAATAATAGTACTTACGAATTAAATAGAACGACTTAAATAAATTTTTTACTGATCAAACTAATCATTACACATAAATTAAAACCATGACACGTTAGACAATGTTTTATTACGTATTTCTATTCGTTCCTTGACAAAAGTAATTAATGTGTTTTTTTTTGCCTGTATTCCTACCAAGATAAATATTTTATATTTTATCAATATTTATATTAGATTTATTTTAAAATATGTATTATCAAATTTAAAATTTATTTGCAATTATATACTGATATTTTATTCGAAAAAATGTAACGACTTAAATAATAAATAATCGATTAAGAATAGTAACGAATGTTTTTAATGACAATTTTCATATTAATGATATACTTATAGAAATTTCATTGTTTTATTCATTTTTTTTTATCTCGTATCATTTTTATAAGCAATATTGAAAAAATTTAACTAATTAATCTTATGGTTTTTTAGTTAATTTCATGTTATCTTTATGTAAGCTAGAATCTAAACTAATAATAATATTTTTTACCGAGATGCAAAATTATTATTATCCTTATAATTTTTATAGATGTAGTAATTACATTTTATCACATAATTTTGTACACCAACATTAAAACTATATGATTTAAGATATTTTTGCCAAACATATCTCACATAATTAATTTTTTTTATTTTTATACATTTTATACGTAAAATTTTTTAATAAATTATAAAATTTTAAAGCGTTTGGTATGTTATAAATATTGTTTATGGTTTTGTATATTTCCTCGTTTAATATGTTTACCACGTTTAATATGCATTTAAGGTTTATCCGTTCAATTTATTAAGATATTTTGCTAATTACAATGATTATAATAATTATTATTATAGTAATAATAATTATAATAATAATAAAAATAACTTTTAATAAAAATTCATGATAGAATTTGTATTATGTTTTTAAAAGATTTTTGTTTCTTTAATAGAAATATATTTGAAAACTTTTTGATTAAGGATAACTTTAAAACATGGCATATTTTAAGTTTTATCGAGTTGAATTTGACAACAAAATTAATTTTAACTACAGACAATTTTAAAATTTCATTACAATATACTATTCATTTTTTGTCGTTCATATTTATACAATTTGTGCTCATGCTTTTATGAATGAGTATTAATAAAATTTGTTAAACAAAATTTATTAGATAATGCAATATTATTTTTACTACTGTTTAATTAATATTATATATTATTTATAATGAATAAGGAATTGATGTAAAAATAAATATAGAAAAACACAGTATTTGTAACATATTATATTTTTATTTATTAGTTATTCTTATTATATATTCTTATATATTGCATTTCGATGCATGTTTTTTTTTTTTTTTTTTTTTAATAATTATTAAAATTGTCATAATCAGTTTTTATATAGAGCTATAGATCAGAGAAAAACTGCTTTAAAAATACGCAGTGATTCAAAAGGTAAATTATTTGTGCATACTAAACTTATATATGTAAATATTTTTACGAGAATTTTAAAAGAAAGTAATCAGATTTGGTTATACTTGGATTCTCCTGTTAGATTTTCGCATGATATTCGTCAAAGTCAAGTGGTTATTTTCTCATTTTGTATGCTGTATACTGACATATATCATCGTTAAACATCAATTACATTCAATTGCACTCGAGTAATAAACAAACTTGTTTATTGTCTTATTTAAACATCATTGCTTTAATTGATTTTGTCACTACATTCATCCATCCTTTTAATTAATTATACTCGCTTGTTCATATACAATTTACAAACTATCGTACACAAGTTACTAAAATTAACATAGCGTTAGTCGTAAATTTAAAAACAAGATATCTTATAATCAAATAAGATTGTAAAATTATTAATAATTTTTTTCGTTTTTTTTGTTTATATTTTATGAAGAATAAAATAATTATTCATCATTGATATTGATTATTCATAGGCATTGAATTGAATGTAAAACGTAACGTTTACGTAATTATGCATACATTTGATTAAGAAATGTAACGATTTAAATTCATTTTAGAAATACAAATATCGTCAACTTGTGTTTAATTATTGTATATTTCAGAAGAAAATCATATTTTCTCAATTATCAATTGTCTAATATTTTAGATTTTAAATTGAGCGCCCTTCCAGTGATTGGTGGTTCATAGATATTCAAGTCAAGAATGCTTAGACACTTTACCTTTGCCAATGCTAATGAATATAAATTGCAACAATATATCTTTTATAATTCAAATGCAATAAAAATTAATTTCATGCCTGGAAATTATTTGAGTTCTATTTAGAAATAAATAGCTTGAAAATTTTGCCTTCAAAATTTACATAATAACCGAATGTGTTTGATCAATTTTCCATTTTTTATATTTCAAAGTACAAGTACATACATTGAATATTTTATATGGAAAATATAATTTTTTAATATAATTTTCCTTAAGAAACCCTTAAGTACCCTTCGAGTCCAATAAGCGATTAAAAATCTTTGGTAACTCTTTCCGTTGACAGCACAATCTGTTAAATCTGCAACTAACTTCACAGTTGTTATCGATTAGATGAAGGTTTTGGGTTTATAAAGTTCTACAGAATAACCTATAAATTAAATTTTTGTTTGTGTTTAAAAGTATTATAAACATCTATATTTACTTATAATCTATATAATGAAACCAACCCCCTTGGTTGCTGATGAAATGTTTCCCGAAGGTGCAGGTCGTTATTTAGCTTTTGAAATGGTCACAGATAATATGGAGGAGATAGTAATTATTTGATTTCACTAAGTATTTGTATTTTATTTACATTTGTTATTAAAAAAGAAACCCTTATATATAGCCTGGCGGATCTGGACCTATTATGATTGATATCGGTGGAGACGAGAAAGCTGTGCACGCAGATTTTTTTAATGGTACAGGATTTAATGGCTTTTAATTATTAAATATTATATTTTATAATACTACTATTAAACACTTTAATGTATTAAAATATGCTAATTTTAATTTTTTAGATTTTGATGATTTATTCAATGATGAGGATTTAGAATAAACATTAAATTTAATCAATAGTGGTTAAGGCGAGCAGGAAAGAAATTAATCATAAAACATTATTATGGTTAGGTCTTTATAATTTAACATCAGATATTTTGATTGAAATATAAAATAAAATATTTAATAATTGTAAAATTTACAAATATTAGATAATGCACTTACGGAGATAATTTTATTTTGTAATTAGTTAAGAAAAAGTACAATTTTTTATATAATCGAAAAAAATACGTAATTTCAATTTATATGAAAAAATATTAGGACATTGAATTCGTATTATTGACTGAATTACTAAATTTTTTATTTTGTGATCTTATTAGATTTAAATAAATTTTCTTTTTAATAAAATTACAATGTGTCATTTACAATTAATATTTATGCATTTTTCATATTCTTTGCGTAGTAATTTATAATGATAATGTACTATGCATTTATTTGGTCATAGGTTAATAAAGAATATAGTTTGTAATATTATTACAATTTATTTATATTTCCAAATCGAAACAGGCATGAGTCTGTTTATTATATTGTGTTCTGTTTTGTACCACAGAGATATATAAATGTGCATAAGAAAAATGAGTACTAGTAGTTATATTTTATACATGTACCGTAGATATTGTTATAAGATTATAATTTACAATACATTTATACTAGGTATATAAACCTATAAGACGATGCACGATTAAAATAGCACCGAGCATTTTTCAGTCACTCTGCATATCTGTGAAGTAAAAGATTTTGACGTCTTCGGTTTGCATTCACAACTTGACTTAACTATCTTAAATTCTTTTAATGCACTCGTTAATTATTATGAGAAGAAAAAAAAAAAAAATAAATAAATCAGGCTCACTGTACTATGAATTAAACAAAAAAATTCAATTATTTGTATTATTTTCCTTTTTTTTATCATTCTCGCTAATTTTCGCTACGTTGTTGGTTGGCCCCAGTCCACGCAAAATCCACACAAGATCTAGTTCGTATTTCTGTTAATGTTTTGATTTTCTTACAGAAATATAAATTTAACATTATATGTTGTTCACTCAAATACGAGACAGATTTAGAGAATCCTTTGAGAATAAAATTTGTATATCCTTGGATGATATACATCTCTCCTTACACTTTCCCTCATTACCCTCTTTCACATTACTTTTTAACAATAATATAGGAATATATCATCTAAAAATAACAATAATGGTAAAGGGAATAATTTCAATGGAGTAAGAAATAATTATGTTCAGAGAAAAATATGTTTTTAGCTATGAAACAATCATGTACATTCTATAAAATAGTTTATTATAAAACAAAATCATTTTCATAACTTCATAATACACAAGAAGTTTTAGATTGAGAATCTGTCAATGCTTGAGAAGATAAAATGTGAAAAGTCTATATCATTTACTTCACTTCAAAAGATTTAATGCATTGATATTATAATTTTTTTTTTGTTTTGTTTTTGTTTACATAATTGATTAATTGAATAACTGAGTTATGTAGATCTAAATATATTTCAACTGCATCTTGATTAAGACTGAAAATTAAATTTCACTATACAGATAAATATTTAATACCATAGTTTGAAAGCCACACGGTTGTTTTTAGAAAATAGATTTTAAATGCTTCATTTGTAATTTGATTTAAAGAAATGTTTGAATATTCAATTTAGTCTTCCTAATATTCTTCTATGTTTTGCTATTAAAACAATTAAAACAATAGAATATGATTGATAAAGAATAGTAGAGTAGATTTTAGATTTAATTAGTCAGAAACTAAAATTGAATATATAATTTTTAATAAGTAGTATTTATTCACGATTAAATACAGGAATAAAACTAATTACATTTATATAAATGTATAAATACAAGCAAAAACACTATGAATTCGAAAATGTCAAAAGTTATGTCAAGTTCAAGTATCAATAAGAAATTAGTTACTGTAAATGTTACATTTATTAATGGATTTTGAAGTTTAATAGTCTTTATTAACGCTATATAAAGAAAAATAAAAAAAAAAAAAAAAAAAAAAAAAAAGTCAATACAAAGTAATATTGAGCTTTTCTAATTAATTATACTTCTATACAAGTTTCAACTTCAACACAGTTGAGTCCTACTTGATAAGCAAGATGAATTTTAATATAACACGATTACTGTACATATTAATCATCAAAAATAATATCCAAATTATTTATGGCTATTACTCCGTGATCATCATTAGGCTTCACATTATTAATTAAACTTGAAAATTTACCTTCAATTAAGAATTCATATGTTCATTGACGATTCATTAATCGATGATATTGTGAGGACGTGTAAGGATAGAGAAATTTGTGAATTTTTTTTCTTGCTTTAAGTGTTGTTCTGTGATTCAATATACTATACACAATAACAATGTCACGTATTTGAGCAATACTCTTAAAAACTCGCAATAACGATAAACACCATAATAGTGACGCACACACCGACAGAACTCTCTCAAGGTATACTACTAACGCTCTACCATAACGTGGCGCAAATGAACGAATATCCAATTTTTCGGCATCATCTGCACAATGCTTCAAACGACTCGGTGATTTTTCACTTGTTTCTGTTTCTGAAGAAAAAGTTGCATTTATGTATACAGCAAACGAAACCTGAGTCTAGCTTCTGAAAAGATCGACAAAATGCTAGTTAATATCAAGGTCACTGTCAACTTGGTCATCCTGGTCGCTCTCCTCCTCCTCTTCCTCCTCTTCCGAGAAGTATTGCGAGGGTGGCGATAACGCATCTTCCGACAAAGAAGTGCGCGAAGACGATGGTGGTCGGGATGTTTCTACTTTTAATTCGGTATCTTCTATTGACGTACTAGGTCCTGATATTGTAACGGGTATGAATTTTTCCAAATCACCAGATGCCAATTCTAGAATAAATGATTAAGTTATTGTAATTATAAAGACAGTCTATCGTAAGTAAGCATTTTTGAATGACAAATTAATTATTTGACTTACGCTCAACGTATTTTTCAAGGGCTTTTGGAACCATTGCTTTGGCTTTATGCAGGTTTTCATCGGAACATTCTCCTTTGTCAAGACCTGCATTTCATTATAATTATTATTTAGTTTGTAAAGCTAAATAGTTTGTAGAACTAATGCAAAGAGACTATAGAATTATTTTTCTAACAGCATACAATACAGCATTTTAATAATAAACTAATGTTTGTTCTGTAAGTCCAATGCTCTATATAATAAATGTTGAAATCAGTGGAACGAACAAACAATGTTTATATACCATACAACTGCCTATATCTACATATAATAAAATCGTAATTTATAGTACATTCCTATTTTTAACCAAACATACGACTAATATTAAATGCTGAATGTATAAATAAATATATTAATTTTGTTGCTTACCATAGGCAAGTCCCATTTCTTTTAAGATTTCGATATCGTCGTGTATTTCAAACTTATCATTAAAATTCAACAGGTACTCGGTTCTAAAATTAAAAAGATTAAAATGAAAAATGTATTCACATTTAAATTTTAATTCAAACAGATTGATTGATGCGTACTTGTCATTGGAAATACTGCAATTTACAACAGTTTTTCTATCTGTATTAATAATAATAAATGGCAACTGAATTGCAGAATTTGGCTTTGGTGGCCCATACATAGCCTCGCTAAGGCGATTTCGTTCGACTAAATTCTTTATAGCAATATGTTGTAAAATTATTCTGTGTAGCTGTTGCGTTTTTGCTTTGATTCTTTCAATTTTCTTCTTTTTGTCCTTTTCTAATGATATACACTCTTGAAGTGAATTAGTTGGCAATCCCAACCACCTAATCTCTTTCTTTTCTTTGGAAATGATATTCATTGCCATGAGTACATTTAATGCATCGTATACTCTTCTTCTGATGTTCTTTTGATCATATTGCTGTATATTTACAATTAATTAAATCATAAAATAAAAATTTTTAAAAGATAAACAGCGAATAAACAGTTATTTAAGTTGAATTACCTGATCGGTTAATGAATTTGTATGAGTTGGATTTGTGAATTCTCCTACTAATTCATCAGCTACTTCGTTATATGATGTAGTCCCTTTCTTCTTTACTTTCTCACATACTTTCATTGAGAAATGTCTAAGGCCCTTTCCCACTTTCTCTGTTTTCCTACGTTTACTGAAAGGGTATCTTAATTTATTATTTATTAACACATGCTCAAAACACATTACGATTGAAATATATTTTTATGAAAAAAAAAACAAGATTATTACTCAGGAATAAAATCGCTCCCTTCTGTGTCTTGCCGTTTTCGGTTTCCTGTGTGATCCAAGATTGGACTAATAAAAGTTTTTCCAGAAGCATCTTTTATTAGTTGTTGATTGGCACTTTGTTGTTGTTGCTGCTGTGATACAATAGCTTGTTTTATATTGCTCTATAATATATAGAAGAGCACAGAGTACAAAATATAAATAATAATTGTTAAAGAGTGAGAATTTTAATAATTAAGACCTACTGTTTTGAATGATTTGACGGCTCTCTTTTGTAGAAGACAAAAAAAAAATCTCTTTTTTATACTAATTATAAGTAATTGCTTAATTTGAGAAATGTTTGAGAAAAGTTTGCCACATGTATTATTAAACTATTGTTAACGTATAACAATAGTAATGAATTAAGTAAATTCTTTTTTAAGAAAGTACATTTAACTTAGCTAGTTTTTCTTAAGTTCTTCTAGCTTTTTTTAATAATGATGTTGAAATTGAAAAGAGAAGGTTTTAAGATTGACAAATAAAAGATAGAAAATACATATATATTAAAATAGAACAAATTCTTACCATTTGAGCTGCTGTGAGTTGAATTGTTTTGGTCATATGTGGATCAGCAGGCTTCATTGTCGGTACAGTTTGTACCTTTGCATTTTGTATTGGTATTGTTAGCAGTCCTGTTTAAGATATTGTAGTTTTATTTATCATAAACATTGCACTCAATAGATAATAAACATTATATTCAATACATACTTTGACCAGTATTTGTTGGATTTTGAAAGCTTATGGTTCTAAGGACTTGTGTTCCAGAAGCCAAAACCTATGTATAAAATTCCACTTTTATTTCCTTAACTTATTAAAAGATCGTTCAAATTAAAAAATTATTCCTTTTACTTTGTAAAAAATTAAATGAATTATATCAATTCTACATTTATAAATTCTGTATATATTAACCAATTGTATATTCATTACATGTGGGTTTGAAGTTTTATAGGTTATTTAAATGAATTATTCAATTGTATATTTAATCATGCCAAGGAAATCTTTTATAAGTTTATAAAATTATTATCTACGCATCATTAAATTTCAATATAAAATAATATATATTACATACATACACACACAACAAATGTATACCTATCTACCTAATATAGGTATATATATATATATATATATATATATATATATATATATATATATATATATATATACACACATTATATAGACAAACTTTCAAATACGCATGCACTACACGCATTAATTTACAATACATTAACAATGATATAATCATTATATAGCTAATTGAATGCAACAATATCTTTTCCTTTTATAATAATTATTTTCTTAAATATAAAGAGAAAAAAATTAATCAATAGAGTGCCTTCAATTAACGTCAATTTATTTATTTCTCTTAAAAAAAAAAAGAAAGAAAAAAAAATACTACAGCATGTCTAAGACTTTAGTAATAAAATATTGCATGCAGATATCATGTATACATAATTAATATGAAAATTTACCGGAGACTCTTGTCCAGGTGTTTTAAAGACTTTAAGGTTTCCTGTGTTTGTGGTTCCAACAATTCCACTTAAGGCTTTATTGGGCGTACTTTGCACCACCTTTATAACTTGAGGATGCCCTGTAATAAAAATTTACTTATGATTGGTAAGTTATCATATTAAGGGAAATTAGAAGAAGAAACATTATTGTTATCATAAAGTTAGCCCCAAAATGGAACAAAAATCTACAGTTCAATGTCAAAGAATATTGAACATACAAAAAAGAAGAAAAAAAAACTTAAATGAAATTAGTATATATCCGATTATGTATATATAAAATATAAAGAAAAATGCCTTTATGAATAAGTTGGTTTACTTATTTATTTATTCCCATCTATACCAAATTACAACCGCTTGTTTCAAATAAATTTCAACATATTGATTTGACCTTATCTAAGTTACTTCTGCAACAACTATACATTATTAGTTCAATTGTAAATTATATTTCTATTTTATTAAAAGAATATTATATCCCTACATTTATACGGAATGCTTAAGTAAACAATTAAAAATGACTAGAAAGACAAACGTAAGGTCATATTAATTTTTATTACGTTGATCAAGAGAGTCCAAAGTGTACTCAGCGAAAGGGAAGCTTGGTCGATTCAGTATTCCCCAGGTCAGACCCTACAATCTCTCAGCCTGCCATCGACCAACGACTCTGACAATCACCTAACTCCGCGGGCCAAGATCCAGACAACCAACGACCCATGCTTCTAAAGTCCGGAAGTTAGCCTGTAAAGCTCATCCAAAGTCCCACCGCGACTCCCCCATTTCAAGTAACAAAACGCGCTACAAAGTCCCACGATAAACAGATGGCAATTGAGGAAGACGCGTGTCCGCAAAAGACAGACGAGAGCGAGACCGAGGATGCCTACCTCGAGGTCAAGGTCGTGGTGCTGCCGTAACAAAATTCGAACTCACCATTGGCATCGTGTATAAGGAAGTTCATGGTTTTATTTTGTTGCGTCATCGTCGACGAAGACAAGAGCCAGCAGCGGAACTCGTAAGCCCTGTAGCGTGGTCCGTGCGCGGCCGATCAACCTTCCCGGCGCTCCCGCCACCGAGAGCGACGAAGGGGCCGCTCAGGAGGGCCGCCGCCCCCGGGACTGCAGCTGCTGCCGAAGACGAGGGTTGTAGGTACGGTGCTGGACCCGCGCGGCAAAGCTCATAGCAGGCTCGGGATCGACCTCGGCACTCTCCCCAGCTCCCCGGCAACTCGGCGCCCTGTCCTTTGTTTTTACCACCTCCGTCGTTGCAGCCACCACCGCTGTCACCACCGAATCCGCTGCAGCCGCCGCCGCCGCTGTCGCCGCAGCCGCTGCCACCGCTGCCACTTCCTGCCTGCTCGGCTCGGGGCCGGATTACGGGGGAGGACCCCCGTGGGCACGGGTAGAGGCCGCGCGCTCGTACTGGCTCTCCAAAATGGCGCGACGCCCGCTCAAAGTGCACGCGTTCCCAGGTCAGGCAGGACTCGGTCGACCTCCTCGAGGACGCTGCTCTCGTAGGCTTTTCCGCTGCCGCAGCTAGCTAGGCTCCCACGATGGGTCGGCGGGGATGGCGCCGCGCTGCTCGTGAGGGTCTCGCGCGCCGGCGACGTATCGGCTGGCCGCGCGTGCGCCCTCTTACTCTCCCTCTCTCTCTCGCTGTCTCTCTGTCTCTTCCTCCCTTCCTGGTTAACTCACTCACTCACTCACTCCCTCCCGCCCTCGTCGTCACACGCTCGTATACGCGGCGAATGCACACGCGCGCGTACACGCGCATCAATATCCATAAACATACACACACGTAAGCGCATACGCGTTGATATGCATACGCATGTACGTACGTATATCAATATATTTGTTTCTCTATCTCTCTCTCTCTCTCTCTCTCTCTCTCTCTCTCTCTCTCTCTCTCTATATATATATATATATATATATATATATATATTTATTTATTTATTTATTTATTTATTTATTTATTTATATATAAATATATATGTATATATGTACATACATATGTATATATATATATATATATATATATATATCTTACTCGCTCTTGGCTAGGTGGGCCAAGACCCTTGGCGGGGTTGATCGAGGAATCGTAAGGCGACCGCGCCTCCTCGAAACTTGGAGGAACCAATTCTCGTTCAGGGGGTGCGAAAAACCGCGGCTTATCTGAACGCGGGGGCAGCTAGGTGCGCGCGAGAAACGTCGCGCTGGCTAGCGAGCGGCTCTGCTGCGTGCGCGCGCGCCCCTAAGAACAGACGAAGACGAAAGATCCGGGGCGCCGTTCGGCGGCGGGACGAGGGCGAACAGCTGATTGGGCGATCGGTTGCGCGCCCCTGGCGGGCCCGAGATCCCGCGCCCATTGGCCCCGGCCATTATCTCGTTTTATCTCGGGTCAATTCGCGCCTCGGCGCTGGGACAATGGCGGCTCCGAGCCAACGAGGCCCGAGCGGCCATTGGACGGGGGCCCCGTCACGTGGCCCGGTTCGTTTCGCGTCGCGGTCCTACCTCGGCGCCAGCCAATGCCCGTCGATGAACGGAAGCGCGCGCAAACGCGGAACGGCCGAACTGCATTACCCGTCGGCGAGAAGTTGGTCGCGGTTGCGCGCGCACACCCGATCGCCAACGTTCTGGGGCACCGCCGACACCGTCAGCACCACCACCACCGCGACTACGACGCCTACGACTACGCTACGAACAAATCTACGAGCGCCAACACCAACGCCAACAATACCGTCACCACCACGTAGCTTCGTGTCGGCCTACAACGTCGAGGAGGGCTTATGATGCTGCATCTGCCGCCTAACGCGCGTTTGTCAATTTTAAGGGGAAGGTTGCCTTTTACGGTTCTTTGTTGAACAGCTTCCACTCGCTCGCTCGTCTGCTCTAAAATTTGGCTCTTCTTCGCAGCCTCCCCAATCATTACATACACCATACACCGACGCTCCTACTCATCTCTTCTTACCTTTACAAATTTTGTTGTTGTAAAGAGCTTCTCTTCCAAAATATTTTAATTCTCAAAACGACCGTAGTCAGAGCAATCGACATTTTCATCGTTTTATTACATTTTTTCCGTCAAAGTCCAAGGAGAAGAAGATTTGAATTTACAAATGTTGTATAGAAAAAGCTTTTCCTCCACCTAATGCGGATATTTCTTATAAATTTGTAGGTAACCAATTCGGAAACTAACAGCTTCTTCTAATACTCTAATACATATGTATATACGTAGGTTTTCTTTTTTTTTTTCCTTTTACCTTTTTCCTTTTTTTTTATTTTTTTATTTTTACTTTTATCTTATATATATACTACTTATATATATATATATATATATATATATATATATATATATATATATATATATATGTACTTATATATACTTATATATTAAATATTATATATATATACACTACTCTTATCAATGTTCTCGTGAAATTAATGTGTCACGAAGGACAAAATTTTCCGAAATTCCCGTTACGGCCCTCGTTCGATAAATACGCCATTGGCCATTCATTGGCCTTCCTTGGGATCCAACATTTCGTGTTGCTTTTGCCTTGAAGAGTCATCGTGACGAAGGCGACGATCCTTGCGTAAGATCATCACGTTGTTATTGTAACTGAACGATACAACAGCCGTGGCACTATTTTTTGCCAAAAAACTTTATCTACTCTTTGGTTTTTTCGCATCTTGGCCGTTTGTGATATCAAATAAACATTGTAATTGTCATTTATGTACTATTCTCGTAATACTTGTATTTTATTTCACTTTGAGTTTATTTAAAATGAGCGATGCGATAATCAGTGCAGCTCATTTACCACAATTAAACCTCGATACAATTGAATGACAGGATATTCGATTAAATAGCATGTTCCTCTTACTAGGGAATAATGAAAATTATGACAGTTGAAGTATGATGTGTACTAGCTCGTAACGTAATTTTCCCACGAAAACAGAGCTAAAGAGCTCGAGACCATGAGTAACTTCAAAGGATGTTAATTATAAAGTGTCCGGTAAAAACAAGTGAAAACAATGTTAAATATTGAAATGAATTTCCTCGTGTCGTCCAATGGCCGTCGATAAATTGAAAGGCGCGCAAATGCGGAACGTCCGAACATTACACGCGCATTTATATATAAGAAGTAATTCCCGAGCCTTGGGCTACAAGTTTTTTCGCCCGCAAAACCGTGATTTTTATTCGAGAAAACTTGATAGTCCTCGCAATAATAGTACGGACCCAAAAGAAGAAGAAAAAAGAAAAAAAATGAATTCATCGATTGATTAGATTAAATATCGACAAAATCATTTAATCGCACGGCTGATCATTCATTTCGTTAATCATAAAAGCTACGACATTATCGAATTAGCTTTGAGATCATTTTATTATATATTTCAGCAATATAAAAAACTATTGAATCGACGTTATACTAATATGATTAGTACATCACGTTGATTCAGCAATTTTTTTCACTGTAAAATTGAAAAATATTTGTTGATATAGATCGCAACTTTATATCATAATGCTTTATTGTAAATATTTTTTTCTATATTAAATTATATATTGATGTATTTTAAATAAATATGCAAATACAAATGATGATTTCATCATATTTATGTAAAAATATCAAATGATCGGGAGCGTGGGCGGAGGGGGGGGGGGAATATTTCATCGATATAATATAAGAAAATGAAGGTTTAATAAATAAAAAAAAAACAATGTTTTCGACATAAAATTTATCTACCGTAAGGTAAAAAGTATAATATCATATGCATTTTATTTAACAAGGCACGCTTCTCTAAAAAAAAAAAACAAAAAACAAATCAAAACAATTTAGATATCATCTCAAATTTAGAAACATTTCTTAAATAGAATTTATATTTACCTTATATATATATATATATATATATATATATAGTTAATATATTATTATAATGCTGATTAGCACTAGTTATTCTTGTTGTTATTATAACAATGGTCATTTTAGTTTACTATCTCTTTACAACGAATAACATTTAAGTATTATAATACTTGTAAATATAAAAGACAGTCTCAGTTTAACTGGGTTAGAAAAAAAAAATGTTATAAGGTGAATGAAAATTAATAAGAATTGTTATAGATTTATCTAGGGCACTTATTACATTTGCATTTATAAAAATAGATAAAGTCCACAGAAAATTGAAATTTAATATTATTCAGAATCGTATAATTTTATTAGAAATATACTTCTATAATTTACAAATATCAAATTTTTAAATTAATTTGCCTGTGAATATAAAGTATTATTTATATTTACGTTACAATATAAACTACTTGTATACATATATTCGTTCGTTAAGAAATAATAATTAATTTTCTTATTTTAATACATAAACATATGAAAAGTTATCTGAATATAATTTTTTTTTTTTTTTTTTTTTTTTTTATTATTATTACATCTATATATTATAAAAGATATTTTTAGCATAAATTGTACTATGGTACTGGATTATAATTTAATGAACATTTTATATAAATAAACACATATATAATTAGATATAAACTTAGTAGCTTGAATTATTTAGCTTATAAAATTGATATAATACTACTCTTATATTTAATTAACAAATACCTCGCTCAATTTCAATCATGAACACTACTATTTATAAAAATAGTATCATTAATGTTAATAATATCATTTAACTATTTATTTCACGATTAATAAATTCAAATATTGTCAAAAGGTAATATGAATTTAAAAAATATATGGAAATTCTTTATTTCTTAATCAAATAAGTTGAATTTTGAAATAAACAATTATTACATTGATATATTTTGAAATGACAATTATAAAATACTATACTACTCCTCAAATGTTTGTATAAAATTTGTTTGTAATTTAGTCTACACACTTAAAACTATTGAAAATAGTATAAACTATAAGCGTATATTCAATAAGCACAATATAGTTATTATTAGTTGCTATAAAAAAAGTTAATATTTGTATTTGGTTGTAACATAGTAATTGAAATTTAATATAAGTAAGAATTAAAATGAATAAATAATGTAAATCTTACAAATTGTTAAAATTGAAATTGAGGTTGTTTCTGTAAATGGTGAAAGTATGTAAAATTTAATAGGGCATGGAGTTTCCAGGAGTATTCTTGATACTATAATTATAAAATTTCATTAGCAGTTATTAAAGAATAAATAATAAATAGTATAACTAGAATCCTTGACATATTTCTCATTATTTCTCTATTCAAATTTTTTTAATATATTTTTAACATTAATAAAAATATTGGACTATAAAATTTATGTTAAGCTTTTTATACTTTCTATTCTACAATTTTATATTATACAAATGAGCAAATTTTTTTTAATAATCATACTTTCAATTAATATATTTGGTAATTGCTTATTATGTTTTCTAATGTACCAACTAATGACGAAATAATCTTTTGCCTAATTCATAAAATTTATTGCTGGAATAATGTCGTATGAATAATTATATTATAACAAGAACCCATTAAACTTAATTAAAAATCAAAAATTTTATTTAAACGAATAAAGCATGTGAATTTTTATAAAAACTTTTTTACTTTAAGCTATTTTGTCGTTTAGATCTGTTGTGGTAATAAAAAAAAAAAAAAAAATAAAAAAAAAACGAAGGACATTAAACAAATTTTCACATCAATTTATAAATTTTTATTCAAAACGTATAAATTAACATTTTATCATTTCAACTTTGTTAATACAGCACAAAAATATCAATAACATAATATTTATTTAATAGAGATAATTTTGCATTAATTATCTTGACATTCCTTATATAATTTATAATAAATTATTATTTAAAATTATCAAAAAATAAATATGGGTAATAATGAACTTCTGACACACACACACACACACACACACACACACACACACATATATATATATATATATATATATATATATATATATATAGAATACAAACACAGAAGATAATTGTTATTATATGAGTTTATTCAATCAATAATATATGTTAAATTAAATTATCTAATTTTTTATGAACAGGCTCTGATGTCCTGATGGTGAATCCACGTTATTTTGGATTCTTAAAACTGATTCTCTTTAATAAAATTATCATAGATAAAAACGTATTTACTTTACTTATAACATTTATCGCCACAGTTAATTTACGGAAAGATAAAGAATATCATAAAATTTACATTGAAGTATGAAATTTTCGTTAAATTAAATTTTCGGTGAAAATACAATATTTTCACTCTATTATTAATAAGAGGTAATTTAATAGGTTTAGTCGCTTTAATAATATTACTTAATAAGGTACATTTAATTTAAGTACAGTGTGTTTTAATTAGTTTGCGATAGAACTTTTTTTGGTTATTTTTAATTCAATGACATTAATAATAAATATATTGATTAATTCGTAATCATTTTAAATCTTACGTTGTAGAAATAAATTAAAAAGTAGGACTTATCGATTAGGATAAATCGTATTCTAATTTCAATAATACTACATACTTACAAATGTATTATGATTAATAAATGTGGATTTATTTTAAGGACGGGTAGTTTTATTACCATTGTAATGAAAAATCTTTACACTAAAATATTAATTTACATGTTTTAAATATAGTAATATGTACAAATTATTGTAATACTTATTCAATAACAAAATATCCAAATTACCAACAAGCGTTAACATTATTAGTGTTTTTTTTTTCTTTCTTTTTTTTTAAGTACATTATTTATACAGAATCAATAGATTCTCAAAACATGATAGTAGGTTTAACGCAATGAATTATTACTCTAAGACTTTCGAACGTTGTATAACATAGAATTACAATGTTATTCTATACTGACTGAATCAATGCTTCAATTTAAATGTTAAAAGAGAATTTTTTTAACTTATGAGGAGGAACAAAGATACTTGAGAAATTATTCATTACTCAGTTTATCTTATTTTTCTGCGAAAAATTTTAAAAATAAATCAACGAATGTAGGGCACATTTGTTCTAAATCGCTCGTTAATCATACGCCCATAAACAATACGCGAAAGCTTATTTGTTATTTTATGTTTGGTATTTTCAATTGCGTAGTATAAATTCCCATTACATTTACTGCTATCTTTTTATTTAAACAAATGTACGTGCATATTCTTATCATTCATCAATAATAAATTGCTTTTATTAAAATTCTTGAAAAGGGAATAATTTGTTCACATTTAAAGAAATATACAAATTTAAGAACAACTCTTATCTTAGTTTATAAGTTTCACGCTCCAGCGAAAAATGACTAAAATTAAAAATGACGCACTTAGTAGGACTTTCTCTAAATTCATCGTCTTTCCTCGCCAACAGAATAACGAGACATTGGAGTGCGATCGCGTGAAATATCTCAGTAAGAATATGATAAACAATATTTAACAGAGTAAGTTACATAGGCACACTTAAAAATCTAAATCTAATCTCTCGTAACGACATCGCTTGCTCAATCTTGCGGATGCAACGTCTTCGAGGAATCCGTTGGGACGACCTCGGTCAGCTTGCCCTATAACGGCAACGGCTCTCGGGACATTCATAGATAGCCGTGGCCGGCAACGAGGGCGGGTATGAAACCCTCGCGACCGTCGCGTGCTCGTACCCAGAGCCAATCGGCCTGGGCATTGTCAGCAAGGAGGGCAACGACCTCGCCCTTGGCTACGCTGAGGGCCTCGGCCGCACCTTGGCCCTCGTAGTCCTCCCGAACGAGGAGTAGCGTGTGCCGCGCGCCTCTCCTCCTTACCCCCTCAGCCGCCCGGAGGTAGAGACGGTCGACGCTGCGTTCTCCTGCCCCGCAGCGGCTTCCGGTCGATTCTCGTGGAACGGTCGAAGCTGCGCGTCGAGGGTGCCGACTGTCACCGCACTCGGACCGTGTGTCCCGCAACTTCTCCGTGTCCGTCAAGTTGCCTGCAATTGCACCGGAAAATTATTAATATTAACAAAACAGTTTATGTATTAATAGCATCAAATAGGAATTGAATAGGAAAATTGTTAATAGCCAGTTCTGATATATTGGATTATGCATGGTCGATATGCAACTACGATCAATACAAGTAGAACTCGGCGAATTGTCGAATGTAGTTTGTTTGGTTTGCGTAAACGCGAATTATTTCAATGGTCATTCAACGCGTTTTCGGTCGATAGCACAAGCTCATACAATATTGTTAATGTAATTCTTGTCACGTTTGTAGATTTTTCGGATTATTCGAGTGCAAGTTGTAATGCAAAGTGTATCGAATCGCTATATTGTATTTACGACACGAAGGCATACAATTTATTACGTGAACTCTTCGGGTTACGAAGAAATATTCAAAATGGCCTCGTTCACGTACATCGTTTCATAAAATTAATTTTCAATCTAAAGAATAGTTGCTGACTTATGAATTGTAAGTAATTATTCTTTTGTTTCCTATTCCGTCAAGATTACCGATTCGTTGATTTATAATTATCATTTGTGGAACAATAGGCTAAATAAAAATCTTAATCCAATATCGTCGTAATTTGACAAATTATGGATGCTGAGACAACAGCGAGTTTAGTAATAAGAGAACCTTGAGAATGAAAGGCTAGAACCATCATAATAATTGATTTCCATAAAATTTGAGGCTCCAAATTCTGGTACTTCAATTAAGAAGCCCATTTTTCGATTTCCAGCCGTTATTCGAGTCTCGCCAGCACCTATTCGCAAAATTGATCCCGATGATTGGGAAGTCATTTAAAACGGTAGGTCTGCTCTTTTGTAAGTTTAGGATCTTAACGAAACTAGGCCAAGGAGAATTGCGACAGAAACGTGAGCGTAGCTCATTCAATACAACATCCGACAATCGTAGAAAGGAGAAAAAGAGCTCGATAAAATAAGCTAATTGCGCTGGCTCGATCAATTAACAACTGGTTTCTCGAGTTTATTATAGGGATTATCCAGATAAGGGCGAAACATAGTTTTGTGGCTCTAAAGAATACGAATCACGAGGACTTTGCAAAAATCATCGACCTTTTCGGCAAAAGGTAGAAAGATTATATGGCGAATGTCGAGAATGCCAAGATGAATACATAATAACATTATGCTATTTATTGTTTGCTCTGAACTCATACCAGGAAATTGCTTTCTAACGAAGGTATACAAATTTAGAAAATTGTAGGAAGAAATTTCGGATTGACCTGGAGAGTACAAAACCTTATATAAGTTTACGAAACAACAGCTCTCTGCCTTTTCAGATCTTCCCTACATCTACACATTGCAAGCTCATTGTCAATTTAAAACGAGCGTTACTTAAAATGCCCCGATCACTCGCGTAATACCGTCACAAAATATCGAACAATTAACCAACTCCGATACGAGCAAGTCAAACAAAGATTGATATTACCCGGTTCTGTTTGCGGAAACGTAATAATGAAGGGACGCGAGCGCCATGGCTTTAACGACGCTTCCTGATTAAATGGGCACAATGGGAGAGGCAACGTTGGCAAGCAGAGATCTACAGGGGAAAAGGTGGAGAGCGTACCAAGTGGCCTGGGAAAGACGTCGGTCGAATCCTCCCAGCATGGTCCGCGAGTCGATTGAGGCAGGATGCCAAGGGGTAGACAAGCGGCGTAGCCAACGTAGCCCTCCTGGCCGTGGGGCGTCTGCACGTATAGCCAGGCCTGATTCTTGAAGACGGCGTTGACGACGGTGCCGAGGGGCAGGGCCATCTCGGCCTGCGTGCCACCCTGGGTCTGGTATAGAACCGAGGGGAACGACAGGACCACGGGGATGTTGGCCGGACGCTCGATCGACGCCTGGACCATTAACAATTGTCAAAATGTATTCGCTGACATACTCGACATATCATTCATATATTATTTTTCATAAAATTGCTCAAATCCGTTTATCTCCATCATCCATTTATGTTCTTTGAGTTTGGCATTCCATTTGGCAGAAATATGCGTAACATTAGGCATTAGGATTGGACGATTTTATTATGACTATCGTTACTATCGGCAAATTTCATGTTTGAAAGTATGCAAGGACTTGTATAATATTTTAAAAATTTAAAGGTCTTTAATCGTTACGATAAATTGTAATAATAATAGAACGTTATAATAACGCAGTAATAATAACGAAGACAATTATCGTGAAAAATTTATTTAAAAGTTTGTTTTCTATTACTCACATATACGCGCGGATATGTATATATATGACAGTTATGCATACTTATTTTTAATTTAATGTAAAATCCCGTAATATAAATAAAATTCCGTATAAAATAAAAATAAAAAAAAAGAAGAAGAAAAGAATATTAATTTTAGTAATTACGATCGAATCGAGTACTTTATAACATTATATAATATAACATCGGGAATCAATAAAACAATAAAAGATATTTTAAACTTGATATTTCATTGAATACACTCATTTTTATAAACATTCACAACCAATAACTTTGATAAATATTCAACCGACTTTAATACAAGAATAAAAATGTATGATTACGATGGATTTTTTTTAAAGGAAGCCTGTGCGAAAATAAGGAATTATCGTCCATTCGTCCATTCGTAGAATGTAGAATCTTCGTTCCACAGAGCAATATGTTTTTTATATAATCAACTTGTTTTTTTTTTCTTTTTTTTTCTTTTTTTTTTTCTTTTTTTTTCTTTTAATTTTAACAACTTTACCTTCGTAAGGAACGAGTCCAGGTCAGCTATTTCGTATCCAAATTTACTGGGTGTTTTAGGTCTGTGACTACGCTTACTTCTCCGATGCCTGTGCTTTTCACGCCCAGTCGGCGTACCGTTGGATTCTCGTGTATTCAAATTAGGTTCGGAGATAGCCCTTTTTACCTTTTCTTTAATCTCCTTGCCTTCTTTAGGCGCTTGATTTTCTTTCTCTAGGCGCCTGTCTAATCCATGGTCCGTCGAAACATCGGTGGGCTTCTCCTTATCTGTCAACTACGCGATTTTAACTGTGATATGAGCTTTATTAGGGTGAGAAAGTTGTAGGTCGAGTGTCTCTTTTTAATCAAAGGTAATTAGTATCCTATGATTTTTACGAAGGGTTGGCATATTTGTTGTTTTATTTGAAACAAACGATAAATACAAAGTAAAATATCTCACCCACCTTTTCTGCCTTGTCGATCTTTTCAATCGCATGCAAAGCAACACTTTTCCTTTCGTGTTTCGCGAGGCAATCGCCGTTTTCCTTCTCCTTCTCCTTTTCTTTATTCTTGGATACATCAGAATTTTTAACACCTTTAACGCTTTTAATGCTTTTCACGCTTTTCACGCTCTTCACGCTCTTGACACTCTTGACGCTCTTGACGCTCTTGACGCTCTTAATACTTCTGCGCACGATTCTCTCTTTTTCCTCATGTTCCATTGCTAGGGTCAATATGGCACAAAATCAATAAGAAAGCAAAAAAATCAATTTAAACAGAAGAAATGCGTGACAAAAACAAATAACAATAACAATAACAATAACAATAACAATAACAATAACAATAACAATAACAATAACAATAACAATAACAATAACAATAACAATAACAATAACAATAACAATAACAATAACAATAACAATAACAATAACAATAACAATAACAATAACAATAACAATAACAATAACAATAACAATAACAATAACAATAACAATAACAATAACAATAACAATAACAATAACAATAACAATAACAATAACAATAACAATAACAATAACAATAACAATAACAATAACAATAACAATAACAATAACAATAACAATAACAATAACAATAACAATAACAATAACAATAACAATAACAATAACAATAACAATAACAATAACAATAACAATAACAATAACAATAACAATAACAATAACAATAACAATAACAATAACAATAACAATAACAATAACAATAACAATAACAATAACAATAACAATAACAATAACAATAACAATAACAATAACAATAACAATAACAATAACAATAACAATAACAATAA